AACCTAACCTTTCAATACATAAGCTTGGACGAGCCAGACAAACCAGCCCTCCATTCATGGCTCTCGAAACCCAAATCAAAACCCCCACCTCGCCGAGCCTTTGTCATCACACGGCTCAACAGACAATCCCATGAGCTCGTAGTGGATTTATCAAATCGCTACATAGTTTCTGATAAAGTTTACAATGGAAATGATGGCTACCCTTTGCTCACCTTGGACGAACAAACGGTCGCAAGTGAACTGCCGTTTTCCTATAAACCATTTATTGACTCGGTCAAGAAGAGGAGGCTTAACTTGTCCGAGGTTGTTTGTACCACGTTTTCAGTTGGGTGGTTTGGAGAGGAGCACAGTGAAAGAGTGATAAAGATTTTGTGTTTTTATATTGAGGGATCGGCTAATTTGTACATGAGGCCCTTGGAGGGAGTATCTTTGCTCGTTGATCTTGATGAGTTGAAGATAGTTGAGTATTATGACCGGGCTAGGCTACCGGTGCCAAAAGCTGAGGGGACGGAGTACAGGCTGTCGAAGCAGAAGCCGGCGTTCGGTCCAAGGCTGAATAGATTCGCCATAGACCAACCGGATGGACCTGGGTTCAAGATCAATGGGCACAAAATAAGGTTAGTATCAGAAATGCGATCATGAGTTATGGTATAAATGGTTTGATTCGCTTAGAAAGCCCAAATTATTGTATGATCTTACTCACCAAATCATACTCATAAAGAGAAAAAAAAAAGTAACAGTTTTTTATTAGTATATTTGTCAATGAAACTAGGGTTAATCGTTTTATTAGTCCCTAAATTTAGACCTGATTTGCATTTGAATCCCTCAATTTCCAAAATCGTTCCCGTGGTCCTTTAACTTCACTTTCGTTAGGACAAATGGTCATGCTGTCAATTTTGTTAATTTTTTATGTTAAATGCAGGAGCAAAATGGTATTTTTGTATTAAAACAAAAAAAATGAATAAAAAATCATATATTTAAAATAACAATAAAAGAAAATCAAATAAAAAACCAACAAAAATAAATAAAGTTTTGGGGGAGTAGAAATTAGGACAGAGGGGGAGAGAGAGAGTTTAATTTTAATTTTTTATTCATATTTTAATCAATTTAATACAAAAATACAATTTTATCTCTGCATTTAACAGAAAAGACAAAATTGACAGCAAGACCATTTGTTCTACCGAAACTGAAGTGGAAGGACCATGAGAATGATTTTGAAAATTGAAGAACTTAAATGCAAATCGAGTCTAAATTTAGAAACTAATAAAACAATTAACCCATGAAAGTAACGTTAAATATTCCACACGTATATAGTTAGGTATGTGGAAATTGTCATCAAACATTGAAAAATCAATGTAATCGATCACTAATGACAAAATGCCGGCTTGTGTTCCACATATTCGTCAACAGCGTATCTTTTTCTCAATGGACTTAAAGATATTCAAGCACGTGTACATCTATGCAAACTTGTGGATTCTTCTCAACCTCATGGCCTCATTTTAGTCCTATCTTTGACTTACTTTTGGCGCATAAGTATGGGAAGTAGTAAACTTCATTTTTTTAACAGCTTAACTTAACTTTGTGAAAGAGTTTTAACTTAACAACACTCCCAAAGTGCTGGTTTAAGGCCTAATTTATGATAAGGGATTTGTAGTTTAAGTAGTTAAGAGTAATTAACTTCGTATGTTTGAATCTCCCAACTTCAATATCGCTTGTATGAAAAGAAAAATAATAATAATCCGAAAGTTTTACAATCACTTATTTTGGGAGTGTCCGAAGAAAGTATCAAAATTTTACTTTATTTTATTTTACACAAGTGTTAAATGTTAATAGAATCACTCTAACTCATTCTTGCTTTTAAAATGCAACCAGTTGGGCCAATTGGGAGTTCCATGTAGGATTTGATGTTCGAGCTGGTCCAATAATTTCCTTGGCATCAATATATGATCTAGAAAAGGGTACATATCGGCAAGTATTGTACAGAGGGTTCGTATCGGAGCTGTTCGTGCCATACATGGACCCAACTGAAGAATGGTACTACAAGACCTTCTTTGATGCTGGCGAGTTTGGGTTCGGTCAATCGGCTGTGCCATTGGAGCCACTGGCTGATTGCCCTGCCAATGCTGCATTCATAGACGCATACTTTGCTGGGGAGGATGGCACCCCTGTCAAAATATCCAATGCTATTTGCATATTTGAGCAACATTCTGGGAGTGTCTTGTGGCGTCACACTGAAATAGCAATTCCAGGAGAAGTGGTAAGCTTACTAGAATTCATTTTTAATTTCAATTACGACAATTCCCTTCATGTATTTTATGTGAGTAATTAGCTGATCACGTGATATTAGATCAATTGTTAATACATCAATTGTGACATCATGTGATTAGAAAATGTGATAATTTCTAGCATTACTATATGTGATTATGAATGAGAGTTATATATATGGTGATGGTAATGTAGATAACGGAGGTTAGGCCGGAGGTGAGCTTGATAGTCAGGATGGTCACAACCATTGGCAACTACGATTACATACTTGATTGGGAATTTAAGCCAAGCGGCTCCATCAAAATAGGGGTATGATATGATTTCTTGTAATATATTTATTGATCGCATTGTAAATCACATTCATATTTTATATGGAACTCACTAATGGTTTCATAGCGAGTGAGATGAGAAAATTACAATGATGATCCTAAGGTATATAGGCTATTTTCCTTTTGAAAACAGGTAGGCTTAACAGGAATACTAGAAGTGAAGGCTGCAGATTACACCCACACGAGTCAAATAAAGGAGGAGGCATATGGAACATTGCTAGCAAAAAACACAATTGGGGTGTACCACGACCATTTCTTGACCTACTATCTTGATCTCGACGTGGATGGCGAAGCCAACTCCTTTGTCAAAAACAATTTGGTGACAAAAAGAGTGACAGACAAGAGCTCACTTAGGAAGAGTTATTGGACAGTCGAGAGTGAGACAGCTAAAACTGAATCAGATGCCAAAATTCAGTTGGGTTTGAAGCCATCGGAGCTAGTTGTGGTGAACCCTAACAAGAAGACCAAACCTGGAAACAACATAGGCTACCGTCTGATTCCAGGGTCAATTTCAAACCCACTTTTATCCTCTGATGATTTCCCACAAATCCGAGGTGCCTTCACTAATTACAATGTATGGGTCACGCCTTATAACAAGTCTGAAAAATGGGCAGGAGGACAATATATTGATCGGAGCCATGGAGATGATACATTGGCTACTTGGACCCTCAGGTATATATTAACATTTGGTGTGAGTTTGACAATTTCAATAATACTATTTGTACAACAACTTCACCCCTAAATTTATGTCAAAATTAATGCACTGCAGGAACCGAGGGATCGAAAATAAGGACATAGTGCTGTGGTACACCATGGGCTTTCATCATGTTCCTTGCCAAGAAGATTTCCCAATCATGCCAACATTAAGTGGTGGGTTTGAGCTTCGGCCCACTAATTTCTTTGAGAGCAATCCAGTTCTTAAAACAAAACCTCCTAATCATGTGAACAGCACTTCAAAACCCTAATTAGCATTACCTCCTAATTATGCCTAGCTTTCTTTTCTTCTTTTTTCTCCTATAATTAAGATTTTGTATTATGTCATCACCACCCAATAAAGATGTGTTAATTTTGTATAATAAAACATGCAAATCAAATGGTTTTTCCTTTTCATCTCTCTCTCTCTCTCTAGAATGCAGCTTAGCTAATATAGAAATGGTTCAGTTCAGGCCACCAGTCTATAAAATGGCATCTAGAAAATCTAGATGGATTATGTACACTAGAAAATCTAGATGGATATGATCTGTTGGCAATCCAACAGGCAACACATGTGGTGCATTGATGTACCATATAGCATCCTTGCTACCCTAAATAGCAATTCTAATTTTCCCATCTTGTTTGATTGAGCCTTGGCTTTTGGTGCGAATTTGTTGTTGCTAAAATCTGTCATAGATACTTTTTTCAGCTTTGGTTGTGGCCTTAGTTGCTTTGAATTGACCGGTCCTTTGGAGCCCCAATGCCCAAGTCCCCATCCGAGGTTGGATTGGAGCTAAGCTAGCACGGCTTTTCTCATTGCCCCCACACTACTCTTGGCCTTGAGGTCCATCCCTTCAAGCCTATAATTGGTTGGTAGATCTGGCTCTCTGGGTTTACTGACTAGCCAGGTCCCTCCCTTCAAGCCTAGAAAGAATTGGTTGGTGGATCTGGCTCTCTGGGTTTACCGACTCGCTAGGTCTTATATATTGGGATAAGAATTCATGTCTTCTTCTTCTTACGTATATATAGGAACATGGGAAATGGTAAATGCATCATCAGATTTCAACCTCTCGAGTTATATATATATATATCCATATATATATATATGGATAAGAATTCATGTCTTCTCCTTCTTCTTCTTACGTGTAAATAACTCTTTAAAATTTTCATTGTCTTTATCATCTTGATATTATCGATATTATAACGATATTATAGCGATATTTTGGCCAAATATTGCTAAAATGTGAGAGAAATTATTGACGTCGATATTTTCCGATATTATCGATATTTATACGATATGTGTATGGATACGTTCCAAAATATCATTGCCTCGAAAAAATGATACTACCCTCGATATTATTGATATTTTAGACTATGATCATGATCTATTATCTATATTATTATCTACAAAACCTTGCCTACTAATAACCCTTATACTTATATATGTGAGAATGTGAAGGTGAAAATGTGGATTGAAAAGTTGGAAAAACTAACAAGGGTTTATAAGGAGTTGGGCTATTCTCCACATTATTACTAATTAGTTTTGGGGTAGAACCTCAACTGCCTTCAATATATATAGAAAGGATGTGATACGCCTGTTACTTCTAAATTCAGATATATTGTTAAAATTTAACGATCTCCATCGTTTGCACATGTCGCATGTGATAGTACGGTAATTTTCCATTTAGCCGTTTACCATGCATTTAGCATAATTACACCATACTAAGCTAGCTGGTCCTTGAAAGTTCTCCCAGAAATTGGCAGTTATTTGCTATACTAGCTAGTTGAAACTCTTATTTAAGAGGAACCTTGATGCCTGCATTTCTCTCACAATGCCATGGCATCCAGAGTAGTGACACCCGCTCTCTTGTTATTACTCTTCTCCATCTTCATCACCTTCTCACCAGCCTTATGCCTAAAACAGCATCCCCTAGACCCTCTAACACCGTCCGAGTTCATCCATATCAAAGCCATAATCCACAAAGCATTCCCTGCCCAAAACCTAACCTTCCAATACGTAGGCCTAGATGAGCCAGAAAAGTACACCGTCCTCTCATGGCAATCAAAATCCACCACCAACACCAAATCTCCACCACCTCCTCGCGGAGCCTTGGTCGTTACACGGCTTAATAAGCAAACCCACGAGATTATCGTGGATTTATCGACCCGTTCCATAGTCTCTAGTAAAGTTCACAACGGAGCAAATGGCTTACCTGTGTTAACCTTGGACGAACAAACATATGCAAATGAGTTGCCATTTAAACATGAACCATTTATCAAGTCCATTAGAAAGAGAGGGCTTGATATATCCCAAGTTGTGTGCAGCGGTTTTTCAGTTGGTTGGTTTGGAGAGGCAAAGAGTAGAAGAACATTAAAGATTAATTGTTTCTACACAAATGAGACAGTGAACTTGTATGTGAGGCCAGTGGAGGGAATAGCATTTGTGGTTGATCTAGATGAGATGGAGATAATTAAATATACTGATAGATTTATAGTTCCTGTGCCAAAAGGAGAGGGAACTGAGTACCAAGCTTCGAAGCAGAAGCCGCCTTTCGGGCCATGGCTACGTGGCGCACCGGTGGTGCAGTCGCAGGAAGAAGGGTTCAGCCTCGAGGGGCACACTATCAGGTTTAGTACTCAACTTAATATTACATCTTAATTATTGATTATTGAAGTTGACTTGAGCAGGGATGATTCTAATGATATAAGTAAGCTCAAACATTTGCCACAATTAATATCACATTACTGGGCCATGATCATCTGACATGATATGTAATAACTGCATGTGGATGTGGTCAACTAATGTCTCTAAAGATATGCGTGTGATCACATGTTTTTTCAGATTGATATTGTTGGATTTCATTTTATACACATGTTTTTGTGAGAATATAAAGGTAAAAAGTCTCACATGGAAATGTTTGAAAATCTTGCAAGAGCTTATAAGGAGTTGGGCTACTCCCCTCATTGCCAATTGATTTTGAGGTGGAACCTCAACTTCCTTTAATTTTAACGAAATAGTAAGGTTTACATGAATGTCATTTTAAACCCCATTTTTTTAAAAATATATATATATTTACGAAGCTACTTTTATAATATTGGAATAATTCATTCACAACAAAGTCATGCCACCAGAATGAGTTAGTCACAACTAAATATTGAGTTCACCATAGATATTTATTATGTTCGTATTCATGTGAGTCGAACATAAGGCATCCTCTAATTAAGTGGAGACAATTGTCACTTGTCCAACATAATTATATTTGTATTTGTTGTTCATATCGTTAGCTGTTTTTATTTTTTACAATTGTAAAATATGTATGGCGATGCTTGAACGGTAAAAATGCTTATTTTAGCTCTATATGGATTTTCATTTATGGTCCAACAACAATTATATTCATTCATCGATCACTTAATTATAGTCCAACAACAATAATAAATATAGGTACTATATATATATTCCTATTTTAATTTATTTTGTTGTGATCAGATGGGCTAACTGGGTCTTCCATCTCGGATTTGATGTTCGAACTGGTACAATCATATCTCTAGCATCAATTTATGATCTTGAAAAGCACAAATATAGAACACCTCCTCGCGGAGCCTTGGTCGTTACACGGCTTAATAAGCAAACCCACGAGATTATCGTGGATTTATCGACCCGTTCCATAGTCTCTAGTAAAGTTCACAACGGAGCAAATGGCTTACCTGTGTTAACCTTGGACGAACAAACATATGCAAATGAGTTGCCATTTAAACATGAACCATTTATCAAGTCCATTAGAAAGAGAGGGCTTGATATATCCCAAGTTGTGTGCAGCGGTTTTTCAGTTGGTTGGTTTGGAGAGGCAAAGAGTAGAAGAACATTAAAGATTAATTGTTTCTACACAAATGAGACAGTGAACTTGTATGTGAGGCCAGTGGAGGGAATAGCATTTGTGGTTGATCTAGATGAGATGGAGATAATTAAATATACTGATAGATTTATAGTTCCTGTGCCAAAAGGAGAGGGAACTGAGTACCAAGCTTCGAAGCAGAAGCCGCCTTTCGGGCCATGGCTACGTGGCGCACCGGTGGTGCAGTCGCAGGAAGAAGGGTTCAGCCTCGAGGGGCACACTATCAGGTTTAGTACTCAACTTAATATTACATCTTAATTATTGATTATTGAAGTTGACTTGAGCAGGGATGATTCTAATGATATAAGTAAGCTCAAACATTTGCCACAATTAATATCACATTACTGGGCCATGATCATCTGACATGATATGTAATAACTGCATGTGGATGTGGTCAACTAATGTCTCTAAAGATATGCGTGTGATCACATGTTTTTTCAGATTGATATTGTTGGATTTCATTTTATACACATGTTTTTGTGAGAATATAAAGGTAAAAAGTCTCACATGGAAATGTTTGAAAATCTTGCAAGAGCTTATAAGGAGTTGGGCTACTCCCCTCATTGCCAATTGATTTTGAGGTGGAACCTCAACTTCCTTTAATTTTAACGAAATAGTAAGGTTTACATGAATGTCATTTTAAACCCCATTTTTTTATTTAAATATATATATTTACGAAGCTACTTTTATAATATTGGAATAATTCATTCACAACAAAGTCATGCCACCAGAATGAGTTAGTCACAACTAATATTGAGTTCACCATAGATATTTACTATGTTCGTATTCATGTGAGTCGAACATAAGGCATCCTCTAATTAAGTGGAGACAATTGTCACTTGTCCAACATAATTATATAAAAATATATATATATTTACGAAGCTACTTTTATAATATTGGAATAATTCATTCACAACAAAGTCATGCCACCAGAATGAGTTAGTCACAACTAAATATTGAGTTCACCATAGATATTTATTATGTTCGTATTCATGTGAGTCGAACATAAGGCATCCTCTAATTAAGTGGAGACAATTGTCACTTGTCCAACATAATTATATTTGTATTTGTTGTTCATATCGTTAGCTGTTTTTATTTTTTACAATTGTAAAATATGTATGGCGATGCTTGAACGGTAAAAATGCTTATTTTAGCTCTATATGGATTTTAATTTATGGTCCAACAACAATTATATTCATTCATCGATCACTTAATTATAGTCCAACAACAATAATAAATATAGGTACTATATATATATATTCCTATTTAAATTTATTTTGTTGTGATCAGATGGGCTAACTGGGTCTTCCATCTCGGATTTGATGTTCGAACTGGTACAATCATATCTCTAGCATCAATTTATGATCTTGAAAAGCACAAATATAGAAGGGTCTTGTATAGAGGCTTTGTATCAGAGCTGTTTGTCCCATACATGAACCCAACCGAGGACTGGTACTTCAAAACCTTCTTCGACTGTGGAGAATTTGGGTTTGGTCAATCCACAGTGTCACTAGAGCCATTGACTGACTGCCCAGTCAATGCCAAATTCATGGATGCCTACTATGCTGGCCAAGATGGCACACCTGTCAAGATATCAAATGCTTTCTGTATTTTTGAACGACATGCAGGCAACATTTTGTGGCGTCACACAGAAGTGACCATCCCAAATAAAGTGGTAATTCAAGTTTTCTTATATATTATTATTTTTGCTTTTGGTTGATTGGTTTTTATGTTGTTGATATGATTGGGAATTCAATTGAATTGCAGATCACCGAAGTCAGGCCAGAAGTGACGCTAGTGGTGAGGATGGTTGATTGCAGATCACCGAAGTCAGGCCAGAGGTGACGCTAGTGGTGAGGATGGTTGCAGTTGTGGGCAACTATGACTACATAATTGATTGGGTATTCAAGCCAAGTGGCTCAATCAAGCTGGAGGTATGAGGTGGTTTTAACTAATTAAATTAACGTCTAGGATCACTAAACCCAAAATGTTGAGTACTAATATCGAAATCCTAAACCAACAATGATGAATATAAGACTTAATACATGTTATAATTTATCGACATATCACGTGGTGTTATCACCACAAATAATAATTTTTTAATCGTCAACTAAACATAACGATGAAGTAGTAAATGAATCTCTCTTGCCACATAACGATGAGTTACCAAATATGGTCTGCAAATAAATATAGGGTAAAATATTATCAATCAAATAAATATACGAGTTAGCAAGTGGATTATGCTTAATATGTAAACTTTAACATCTTCAACAGGTTGGGCTAACAGGTGTGCTAGAAACTGAAGGGGTTAAGTACACCAAGACAGACGAAATAGAGGAGGAAGTTTATGGTACACTAGTTGCAGATAATACCATTGCTGTAAACCATGACCACTTCTTGACTTATCATCTTGACCTTGATGTGGATGGTGAAGCCAACTCCTTTGTCAAGAACAAAATGGTGACCAAACGAGTGAAAGACCCCAAAATTCCGAGGAAGAGCTATTGGACTGTTGAAAGTGAGACGGCTAAAACTGAATTGGATGCAAAACTTCATTTGGGTTTGAAGCCATCTGACTTGGTTGTGGTAAATCCTAATAAAAGAACAAAACCTGGAAACCCAATTGGTTACCGTTTGATTCCGGGGTCAGTTGCAGGACCCCTTTTGTTGGAGGACGATTACCCACAAATTCGTGGGGCTTTCACCAAGTACAATTTGTGGGTTACACCATATAATAAATCTGAAAAATGGGCAGGAGGACAATATGTGGATCAAAGCAGAGGAGATGATACTCTAGCAACTTGGAGCCTCAGGTATGGTATTATATGTTTTGCTTGCTTAGCTGACTATATTATGTGACAGTCATTGTATTTATTAGTATCGGGACATACAAAATATTAATGTGGCGAGTGAATCATGCATGATTAATAATTTGGTCGAACTTGTATATGCTTAAAAAAAATGTAATCATCCTAGCGTTACTCTGTCGAGTTTTGATACGAGTATGAAAAGTGATTGCGATAATTTGTTAATTTTATTTATTGTATTTATCACTTTGCACGTACCTTATTAATGTGCGCAGGAATAGGGAGATTGAGAACAAAGACATAGTGTTGTGGTACACCATTGGGTTTCACCATGCTCCATGCCAAGAAGACTTTCCAATGATGCCAACATTGAGTGGTGGGTTTGAGCTCCGACCAACCAATTTCTTTGAGAGCAGTCCAGTGCTTAAAGTTAGAACAGTATCTCCTAAGCATGTACCTTTGCCTAATTGCACCACCAAAAACTAGTTAGGTTTTTTGTTTGTGATGAGTATTAATAAGCCTAAAGGGCTCCTCCATAAGTGAGATTTCTCCCATTCTGTTGTCTAATTCATTGGGCAATTTTGTCACTTAATTTGGGTGTTTTCCATTGCAAACAAAATAATCTATACACATGTGCTACACGTAATCGGCTTATAAGAAGTTGAGTCACTCGCTTCATCGTCAACTGGTTTTGGAGTGGAAACCTCAACTTCCTTCACAAAGTACATTCAAAAGAGAAAATTTGACAGCAGCCATTGTTGTCACTAAAGAAGATAAATCAACAAGATCAACAACCAGACAAACTTATTATATATACAGTGAACAGAGGCAATCCAATCATCTGTACACCACCCTTAATTAATTAAATTAACAATAAGTAATCACACTTTGGAAGATAACTGTTAAAAGTAATTGTTGTCATAAGAGTTTTCCTTGTAAGAGAATTTAACACGTGTTATGGAGAGCATCTTTGTTAGAGTAATGGGTTGCTCTCAAAAAAATTTGCAGGGCGGAGCTCGAACCCACCATGAAGTGTGGGCATAGCTGGGAAATCTTCTTGATATGGAATGTGATGAAATCCCACTGTGTACCATACTACTATATCCTTGTTTTCAATTGCTCTGTTCCTGCATGCCATGGAAAAAGCGTTCCCTCTTAAGTCAACTTTCATGCAAAATTAAACTATACAACAACACGGCAACTGATCTCGGCAACTGATCAGTTAAATTCTCGGCAACTGATTTCTTATCAGTTGACATAATAACCTGCTTATCTCGGCAACTGATATGTTAAATCCTTGTTTGAATGTGTAGTTCAAATTAACAATCTTACAACATAATAGGATACTTCGTACGAGAACATTATACTAAATTTATAGATCCCATTTCTATTTGGTGAGTCCTATTAAAACTTTAATATCCAATTTCCCATGAAACTTCAGTTTCTTTACTTGCATTTCAAGAAACCCCAACCATTTTCAATGAAATGTTCAGCTATTTACAGATAACAGAATTAAGATATATAGACAACGTTGGTTACCTCTTGCTCATTATCTAAAAGAGAAAAAAAGCAGAAAGTTACCTCTTGCTCCAAACAGCTAAGCCATCATCTCCATGGCTCCTATCAGCATAGAACCCTCCAGCCCACCTCTCTGACTTATTATAGGCAGTCACCCAAACTTGATACTTAGTATAAGCAGCTCTAATCTGCGGGTAATCATCATCAGCCAGTAGAGAAGTGACCGGCTGTCCAGTTATCAGCCGGTAGCCCACCACATTCCCAAGCCTAGTCATCCTACTTGGGTTCACAATTAACAGCTCAGCTGGCTCCAAGCCGAGCCTAATCCTAGCCTCGGCTTCAGTCTTGGCGGTTTCCTTAACCACCCTCCAGTAACTCTTTCTAGGTGATGTGGCGTTAACGGGGTTTGTTCTTGCCGTTTGCAACTTGGCCGTGACAAAGGAGTTGTCGTTACCGTCAACGTCAAGGTCTAAGAAGTAGGTGAGGAAGTGGTCGTGGTTAACGGCGACGGTGTTTTCTGACACTAAAGTTCCGTAAACGCTTTCCGTTATCTGGTCGTTATTTGTGTATGACGTGGCCTTCACCTCCAACACACCTGTTAATCCCACCTGGCAATCATAATTGGTTTCCTTCTCAAATGAAGTAGGGGAACACTCTCTACACTCTCTATTAGCAATTATAGTGATTGAGCTCTGGTTGATTCACATTAGATATTAGTGATTGTTTGACATGATATCGAAACTCTAATTTGCTGAGATTCTAACTCGAAACCAAAAAGTTTTTTGGAGAGTACACATAAACACTTCCCATTAGATAAGTGGTTGTGACTGAAGTGTCAAACTAACAAAAAATGAACTTAATTATCTCAAACTTCCAACCATAAACAAAAAGAATCAAGAAAGAGAGAGAGAAAAAAAAAAACTCACCCCAACTTTAATGGTACCACTTTGCTCAAATTCCCAATCAAGAACATAATCATAGTTACCAACAGTAGCCACCATTCTAACCACCAAAGTCTTCTCCTGCTGCCCACTTCTTATCTACAAAACCAGCCACTTCATATTAACACTGCAGGTTTTTTTGTTGTTGCTAGCACACAGATTAATTAGCATTAAAAAATCAAAATCTTAAACCTTAAACACTTCCTTACCAATTTTCCAGGAACGTTAATCTCAGTATGTCTCATTGCAACATTACCTGAGAACCTTTCAAAAATGCAAATGGCCCTTTGCACCTTTTGTGGCTTGCCATCAGCCCCAGCCATATACCCATCTACATATTTTGCATTTTCTGGGCAATCAATCAGTGGCTGCAGACTATCAGCTGATCTCCCAAACCCAAATTCACCCAAGTCCATGAAAGTCCTAAAATACCATTCACTTGTAGGATCCATATATGGCACAAATGTCTCTGACACGTGTCCTCTGTATAGCACACTCCTATACTTCTTCTTTCTGCTGTCAAATACAGAAGCTGTTGAGATCACAACTCCTGCTCTAGCATTGAACCCAACATGAAAAACCCAATTTGCCCATTTGACCTTGTGGCCTGAAATGGTGAACCCACTATTGGTTTTGTTGCAAGAAGCAGAATTGGAGTTGCCTTTTGGTGTTTGAAAATCAGTGCCCTCAGCTTTAGGCAAAGGGGCTCTTAGCCTATCAGTGTACATTGTAATCTGCATCAAATCAATGTCCACTATCATGGTAATTCCCTCAATAGGTCTTGTGAAAACATTGACACTTCCTCCTCTGTAAAAGCATTGAACTTTTACAGCTCTCTTTGTTGTATGCTCCCCATACCAACCAATTGAAAAGGGTAAGCAGGAAACTTCAGATAGATTCAATCCCCTTGTTGAAATTGACCTCTTGAATTTGGGGTGACTGAGAGGCAGTTTACTTGCTTGGAAGAGCTCAGTAAAGCTGAGAGGGGGGTAACCATGACCTGTGTAGACATAATCTGATATGACCGAACCCGTAGCCAGGTCCACAATGAGCTCGTGGGTCTGACCACCAGCTCGAGCCACCACCTTAGCCTGCCGGCGCGGGGTAGACCTCTCTTTTTCACTTGAAGATAGCCAATTGAGAACATCAGATTTCTCTGGCTCTTCAGTGTCAATAAAATGAAAGGTGAGGTTTGGAAGAGATCCAAGGTGAGACTTCTGAACTGTGAGCCTTATTTTGTTGATCTCAGTTGGGTTGAGAGTGTCTAGAGGGTGGGATGTGCTAGCTGTGAAGCAGCATTGTAGGATCAAACTAACGGCTATAAATAGAGCAGCAGTCATGGATTTTTGCTTTGCAAATTCCTAAAGGAATCAATTTGGGTAGAGGTGGTTCTAGGTAGCTAACTGTTCTGTTTGGCATTATACAACAGAAAACAAGCAAAAATTTATAGAATCTCTGGTCGAAATTTGCATAATAATAAAGAGGGGCTGCCCTGACTTTAATGGGACAACTCACATTGTCTTGGACTTTAATTTTGCAGGCTCGCTCTTGCTTTGAGTCTTTGCCTTGCACTGAGAGCAAGCATATTTAATTGGCTTTGCTTTGCTTTTGAGTCTTTGATAATGAAGTGAAGGGCACGATCATCATTTTACACACCTGTGTTTGCAACTGCTTGCTCTTAAACAAGCCACATGTTACAAGATTCAATAATAATTATATGTCAAGGACTAATAAAAGATTGAACCATAAATTCTATCAACTGTTTACTTCAATACTTCAAACCATATTAAATACATTCATAAATATCTTTTCACTATTCAGAATACTATAGTAGTATAGTCACGTGGTACATTTTGTACACATATGATAATATAAGTGGATATTTATTGATACTATTCTCTAAAAGGGAGAAAAATAAACCATGTCGTTCATCCATATTATAACATGTGTATAAGATATACCACATGACCATACCACCGTAGTATTCTATAATTTCTCCAATGCATTGATATAGACATTTAAATATGACTTCAAGGAGAGTTATTTAAGAGGATTGCCGGCCAAAAGAACCAGCAAGCAGTATGTCATGTGGGCCTGTGGTTGTTTTTAATTCCTGCCAACAAATATGCAGCAGGTGGAGCCTATAACGCCCAATGAGCTATACTTTGAGAATTCTTACAGCACAGCCCAAACTATACATGGATGCCTTCAATTCAATGGCCTAATTAAAAATTTCTCAGCCTCTCCCAATGTTTTTTTGGGGGTATTTTTCTTGCATTGAGAGCAAAAAAGATTGATTGAGTTTTACTCAATAAGCTGGTGCATGATCATCAGCATGACATGTAGTCACTTACTCATTGGATTAAATTTATGACTTTTCTTCAAAGTAGTACCTAAGCTCCCCTTCATGCAGAAATTAGGAAATAGGGAGGTTAAAAAGAGTGAAAGTGAAATACTTGGATGTTTCATTTTCCTTCAAGCAGAATTTCTCCCTGGGACAATGTTGAAGGTGGATGCGCAATTTGACCTCTTCGCATATTGGGGCCGGACAGGATTGCTTTCAAAGAAATTGGTTGGCCGGAGCTCAAACTGGTTGCTAATTGTTGGCAATATGGGAAAATCTTCTTGGGAAGGCACATGGTGTACCACAACACAATGTCCTTGTTTTCTATGTCCCTATTCCTGCATCAATCACATTACTTAGAAACCATGGTCTAGCTTTGGATGCAAAGGCTAATTAGTTAGTACCTGCTGCTCCATGTAGCCAAGGACTCATCCTCTCTTCTTTGATCAGCATTTAGTCCTCTGCCCAATTCTCAAATTCTCAGTTTAAATTCAGAACGACACCAAAATGTGGTTGCTCTTCGTTGGTAGAGATGATGAAGAGTGAAATGGGGAAGAGAAGAAAGGAGAGGAATTTGGAGGAGGAGGAGCTTATAGTCAAGGCGGCTATGGCTATGACTTTGGGAAAGGGACCAATGGGTTCATTTACTTTTCAATTGTTTCCTTTGGGATACTTGGTTCAGAAATACCCCAACGGTGTACATCTTCCTTATATTATTTTCTGAATTTAGGCATCGAAGAGCTATTGGTCAACATCACACCAGTGTTCATTCAATTATTGTTGTTGTTCTGAAAGAATCTAGAAAAAACATATTAAAGTAGAGCGACGATCTTCCATAAATCCACCCAGGAGGAAAATTGCTACCACAGTGGCAACACCACACTAACATTTTCTGAGGTTTTGAAATGATATTCTTGATTAGGATTAGTTAGTTGGGGCAAAAAGTCGGCTCCTTTTACGTTAAAATTCAAACTTTCTATTTGATGAACTACGGGTTTTATCTAAAAACAAATAAAACAAAACAAAAGAATGATGAGATATCAAATTTGTCATAATTTATAACCAATAAGGTATAATCTAATGGAAAAAAACTTTGACTTTCAGACTAGTTGTTTTAGGTGCGAACTCTCATAACACTATTAAGTGATAGTGTATATGTGAAAACACCTCTCTTGTGTAATTTATACTAAAAAATGACGAAGATAAAAAAATAAAATAAAAAAATAAAAAATTGAGGGATGCTTGGGCTTGGTCTCAAAAGCCGAGCCCAAGATCGATAGGCATTCCAGTCCATGTGTTGTGGCGGTAGTTACAGTCTGGATCCTTCTAGCGAGCACCGAAAGCAAATCCTAGAACCTACACTGCTGTGGGCTTTGATCACACGTGGCACAAATCAAATGCCTTATAAAATCAAATGATATATCGATCAATAATCACTAGAGCATAAAACGGACAATTAATTGAAAAGAAAAAAAAAAAGAAATTTGTAAATGGCGGCTTCAGAGCTTAAGGGGGGGGGGCTCGCATTCTAAAGTTTCCAAACGGACAATTAATTGAAAAGAAAAAAAAAAAGAAATTTGTAAATGGCGGCTTCAGAGCTTAAGGTGCGAGTGCTCGCATTCTAAAGTTTCCAGTAAATAAATTTTTTTTAAAAAAAAGAAAAAAGAAAAAAGGGTGATTGCTTGCCACCTTTCACTCTAGGAAGCTCTAGAAGTTGGGCACCGTTGTAATAAGAAGATGCTCAACTCTCTCTCGTTCTTTCTAGACCGAAGCGGTCCTTCGTATTCTTTTTGTGTTGTATCTTTTCTCCCCTGTTTGTGCTCTAAGCTCTCATTGTTGCTCTGCTCTCTCACTCAACTGTAAGTTCCTCTTCATTTCCTTTACATAACGTTTTGCTTTTAGTTTATGTATTTGTTTATTTTTCCCTTAGTGGTGTATGTTATGCTAGCTGCTTATGCATAGAGTAGAGCTTCAAAAATCTCTGTGTCTCGGCAAAATTATGAATGCTTGCACTGCTTTATTGCTTCAGTCATTACTATTTTCTGAGTTATTTTTTATTGGTACCCAAGAGCTAGTTCTTGCTTTCTGGAAATGCAAAGGGGTCGTGTCTCTGTTTTGGAGCGTTATCTTTTGTTCTGAGTTTGAGCTTTCTTGTCATGCTCTTCTTCACACATTTCTTTGCATTTTTCAAAGTTTTCAATTTTCTGACATAATTGTATTCTGGGATTTGATAATTGATTGTGAAGCTCTGTCTTGATATTAAATTTTCAATTTCAAGTCAAATATGTGGGGTTCTGGTCTCTATATTTCTACCAACAAATATGCAATGGGCCAATGGCTAAAATACCCGATAGCTGTTTGTGTGAAGGCGTGAATGAACTATATTTTGCCAATTCTTTCTGTATGGTTTGAGGGTTTAGTGGGTTTTAAGGGAGTGGATTGAACATGGCCTTGGTTTTTTTTAGAACAAGTACCAATAAGGAATTATCTTAACAAATCCTCATATTGCAAAAGAGAATCATTTTCGTTGTGTCAGCTTGTAAGTAAACAATATCTAGAATACTAATCTAGGAAGACAGAGGGTGGTATCATACATGAGACCTTGGGATTCATAGGCGTTGCTTGGGATAACTAGTTCTTGGGCTGATTTGCCAGCACAATCTGGGGAAAGTGGAACTTGTATTGAATTTTTGAAATGGTACGTACCAAACAAAATTTGTGTAACTCTGAAGGATTATTAAGTTTCAGCCCCACTACATATTTTGGAACAAAAAATGCTACTTTGAGTCCCATTTGCTGTTTTTCTGTTTCACTGTAGTCCCTGTATACTATCTGTTGTATGGTGCTTCTGATGACGAGTACAAGAAATTCAGTATTTGTTTTTTTGCATACCACTTGGGCTGGGTCATGGTCCATGTTGTAATCGGGGAGATATTTTTGTACGTTCTAGTTACCTTCCTCTACTGCATGTATGTGGGTTCCGTTGTTATGTGGTTGATCCCAAAAAGGATGTTGTGATAGGGAGGTCATATAACCAACACATACAAATGTTTCTCCTCTTTTAGGCAGACTTTTAAAATGAATGTTGTAACACTTTTGCCTACTCTTTCCTTTTTTTTTTCTCTCTCAGTCTCCTCTTCTGCTCTCTTCTATTCTAATGATTTTGAGCACATCCTCATCCTTTTGCATCTTTTGTAATGCAGGAATGGCTGAGCCAGCGTACACCGTAGCATCTGATAGTGAAACTACTGGAGAGGAAAAATCGTCATCCACTTTTTCTGAAACTGCAATTGGAATTGACATTGGGACTTCACAGTGCAGTGTTGCGGTCTGGAATGGCTCCCAGGTTGAGCTCCTTAAGAATACTAGAAACCAGAAGATGATGCGTTCATATGTCACATTCAAGGATGAGAACCCTTCAGGGGGAGTAAGCAGTCAACTCTCGAATGAACAGGACATGTTATCCGGAGCTGCAATCTTCAACATGAAACGCTTAATTGGCAGAGTTGATACTGATCCAGTTGTCCACTCAAGCAAAAGCCTCCCGTTTTTAGTACAAACATTGGGCATTGGGGTGCGCCCATTAATTGCAGCCTTGGTCAACAATGTGTGGAGGTCCACCACTCCTGAAGAAGTAGTGGCAATAGTTTTGGTGGAACTCAAGGCAATGGCAGAAATCCAGTTGAAACGGCCCATAAAAAATGTTGTTCTGACCATTCCAGCTTCATTCAGCCGATTCCAGCTGACTCGTATTGAAAGAGCTTGTGCCATGGCTGGTCTTCATGTACTCAGACTGATGCCTGAACCAACTGCTGTTGCGTTGTTATATGCCCAACAGAATACATCTCAGAACACAAATACTGGATCGGAGAAGATTGCTCTAATCTTCAATATGGGTGCTGGATACTGTGATGTAGCTGTAACTGCTACGGCTGGAGGAGTTTCTCAAATAAAAGCCTTAGCAGGATCTGCCATTGGAGGGGAAGACTTGCTTCAGAATATGATGCGTCATCTGTTGCCAGATTCCGAGAGTCTTTTAACTAGTCATGGACTTGATGATATAAAATCGGTGGGCTTACTTCGAGTTGCAGCCCAAGACACAATCCACAGTCTCTCCTCCCAAACTACTGTTCAAGTTGATGTTGACTTGGGAAATGGAACAAAAATATGTAAGGTTGTGGATCGCGGGGAATTTGAGGAAATCAACCAAGATGTGTTTGATAAGTGTGCGAGCCTCATAATCCAGTGCTTGCATGATGCAAAGGTTGATACTGAGGATGTGAGCGATGTAATAGTTGTTGGTGGATGTTCGTATATTCCAAAGATAAAAAGCCTTGTCAAGAGCACATGCAAAAAGCAGGAGCTTTACAAAGGAATGAACCCATTGGAAGCTGCTGTCTCTGGAGCAGCACTAGAAGGAGCGGTGGCATCAGGTCTTAGTGATCCCTTTGGAAATTTGGACTTGCTAACCATTCAAGTCACTCCTTTGGCCATTGGTATTCGAGCTGATGGAAACAACTTTGTGCCCATCATACCTAGAAGCACCACAATGCCAGCACAAAAAGATCTGATTTTCACAACCGCCCATGATAATCAAGCTGAAGCACTGATAATTGTGTATGAAGGAGAGGGGAAGAAGGTGGAAGAAAATCATTTGCTGGGCTATTTCAAGATCACGGGAATTCCGCTGGCCCCCAAAGGAGTTCCAGAAATAAGAGTAATACTGGACATTGATGCTTCAAGTGTGCTTCGAGTTTTGGCTGGGGTCTTAATGCCAGGATCTCATCAACCAGTAAATCCAGTCATGGGAGTGAGGATGCCGACAGTTGATGATGGTCACGGCTGGTGTGCTGAAGCCCTAAACAGAGCTTATGGTTCTACTCTAGACTTGGTAACAGTGCATAAGAAGATATAGTCACCACATAACAGGTATGCACGGAATCAAATTATAGTACCAACTGTTGAAATGTAAGGATAAGACTCTGTTTGCATACCTTATAGCTTGTGGATTGGGTGTAATAAGCTGGTTCTGTTTCAATGGTGTATTGCATGTTAGCTGTGTTTGAGTCTTGCTGCTTCTGTGTCTCTAATTGTCTAATTAATCTGCCTTGAATAAAAATTGGTCGATCTTCTACATGTTGCTTGTCCCATTTGAAAGGCAAGTTTATAGCTCAAAAAATTTCAAAAGAAAATTCGATTTAGAAGTTGCAGCGTACTGTATGCTGAAAATATAACTTGTAATTGTCCTGAGAACGAATATGATGACTGAATTAGTATTGAACAAAAAGAATATTCTGAAAAAGAAAAGAAAAAAACACACATATATAGTAGAACTCTCAGATTCTTGCGTGATAGAATAAACTCCGAACCCAAAAGGTGATGCTTAATTCACAAATTTCAAATATTTGCATCAAATTTGCAAGGAAATGAGATTCAAAAGAAGTTGCAGAGCGAAATCAACTTGTAATGGTCCTGCAAAGCAAATTCGAGAGGCATGGCAAAATTTGTACTAAAGAATTTTAAAATTTCAGAAAAATTTTACAATGCAAAAGTTACCATATGGATTGATTTCCTTTGGACCTGGAAAACCAAGGCAATGATGAGATGATCATGCAGGTAAAACTGGCTTTAGCCATCACCGTCGTTATCCACA